AAGAAGGGATGGTCACATGCCCTTGTATGCACGTGTGTGCACGTGAAATGAGCAAAATCAAAAATTCACTTGAATGAGCGTATTTTTTAAAAATATTTTTGGATTAACTACTTTCATATTTAGTATATTTAAATATATAGATCATGTAGACATTAAGCACATGCATTCACATGCACACGCACGCAATGCCAAAATTTGAATGAACTTGGTACACTTCTGGGTAAACGTTGTTAAAGTCTAAAAAACAAAGAGTTTGTCTTATTTAATGATGCTTACAGGGAATATGGCACCAAAAGGGAGTTGGGGAGCGTTTGGGGAACATCTGTAACGGTCCCCGTTACAATTAGCACTAGTTATTTTTCTTCTTCTTCTTGGGTACTTTTTTGTCCGCGAGTGATCTTGTAAACTGTTCACCCGAAGTAGGTAAAACCTTTTTAGGGTTAGTAGACATGTTGTGTAGATTTGCGGAATCAAGGTCATTTTTCGCGCACGTGCTTGCAAGAGCGTGCACGTGCAACACGTGAAATGACCAATATAGTAGATATAGCCATAACTTTTCTAATTTTTGACTATATGCTTTGAAACTCATAATATAAGTATATATAAGTTATAAAGGCATGATGACCTGTTCCTCGCGCACGTGCAACACGTGAAATGACTAATATAATAGATATAGCCGCAACCTTTCTATTTCTTGATGAAATGCTTTGAAACTCATAATATGAGGATATATCAGTAGTATAGACATGATGACATGGTCAAAATAGCAAGATCTCACGCGCATGTGCGTGCCCTTTGCTCTGATTGGCTGAAACAAAAGTATCAATATCTTTCTTGTTTTTCGACAAAATCCTTTGAAATTTTGAACATATTCATACACTATAAAGATCTACAGCATGATATATAAGAATTATCATGAAAACATGCGCATGCACGTGCGCTGCAATCTGATTGGCTGAAACTTTAAATGTCTGTAACTTTCTAAGTTTTCAACGAAACGGGATGAAATTCAGAATATTAATAGGTATAATTGATACCTACATTATGCTTATATCAAATTTGAATGCAAGGACATGCATGCATGCACATGCGCATGTGCAATACGTAAAATCACCAATATATTTGAAAAATGGTCATATATATATTTTTATGATATTTTGATTGATTCTCACGATATAAAGATAGGTTAATGAATTAAACAACATGCCTTGATCATCTTGCATGTGCATGCAAGTGCGTGCGCATGCAATACGTTAAATGGGATATAGTTGATATGATTGTAGTTTTGATAATTCTTTGATGAAATCCTTTGATACTGAGCATATTTTTAAAAAAGTCTTACAGGAAAATGGAACAAGAACGGAGTTGGGGAGCGTTTGGGGAACATCTGTAACGGTCCCCGTTACAATTAAAACTAGTTCATTTTGTTTTGAAGGTCTTGGAGTTGATGTGCAGCTTGGTTGATTGACAATAATCTTGCAATCTGTCAGAGAGTCATTTTGGCTGATGTCAATTTGACTTTTAACTTCTTCTAGAAAGTCATTTTGGTACCATTAAAATGCACCAGTCCCTTGAACGAGAACCGTATTTGTGCTTCTGTAAATAGTTACTGAGTCGCACATTGATTTATAGATGCAACCATTTTTCTTATTATTTCCATGGAAAAGAAGCCTCTTTTGAAGCACAGATAATATAAACTCGTGCTGCTGGACATCATAATTTATGGTTACACTCTCTGCATTTAGTTTAACATGTAGAAAGTCTGGAATACTCACCGAAGGTGCAAAATCCTTTTCCTTATTTGTACCAATAAATGATTGTGACAGTCCATTAAATGAGTTCAAAATTGATGTAAAAAGATTTGAATTTTCACTGAGATCCATCATTTCTTTATCGTTTTAACTATTCACCTGACTAAAGATAAGAGCACTAAAAAACACGTCTTATCTCTTCGGCGTCTTTTCTATACCTGTTCAACGATAGCTGTTTGAAATGTTTATAGAATACTACGATTCCCTATCCAGAAAAATACCAATATTTTTATGACTCGCCTATAAGTCGGACATAGACTTTGGCACTAAAATGTAACTCTCAAAATACCGACTTATAGGCGAGTATATACGGTACTTTTTTCTAATAACTTGTTCATGAATTAAAAAAAATATTCATAAATAATAATTGTTCATATTGTTTATGTGACATAAGAAAGGTAACATAAGTTTATTTGAAGATAATTTAAATTGTCAGGTTACATTTGAAGGCTGCATGAAATGAGCCTTTTTCACATGGCACTTGCAAAATCAATTTTTCTAAATAAATAAAAATCTTAAATACCGCTGTAAAAAAAAAACTTTCCCTGTTTTACCCCCGCTTCGAAGACATACTGTTCTACCCTGATGTGTGCGTCCGTCTGTCCGTACCGATTTTTTGCTCACTTTTCTCAGCAACTACTTAAGGCCAATGCTTGAAATTTTAACACAATCTTTTCTGATGCATGCCATATTATAGAATAATTTTTGTTTAAATCCGACGTCAAATTCCTGTTCATCCGTGCGTCTCTCTTTCATACAATCCCGTGGGGATCCGGGTTAGAATAGGTCCTCAGTACCCCCTTACTTATCGTAAAAGGCGACTAAATGGGACGGTCCTTCGGATGAGACCGTATAAACCGAGGCCCCGTGCCACAGCAGATGTGGCACGATAAAGATCCCTCCCTGGTCAATGGCCCCGAGTGCCGAGCATAGGCCCAAATTTGCAGCCCTTCACCGGCAATGGTGACGTCTCCATATCAGTGAAATATTCTGGAGGGGGACGTTAAACAGTGTTAAATCAATCAATCAATCTCTTTCATACATAACAAAATCTCGTCGTAGTTTTCTTTGCAACTACTTATGGCAGATGCCAGAAATTGTTAGGCAATCTTGTCTGAGGTATGTCACATGATGGGAAACATTTTGGTCATACGATGTCAATTTCCTGTTCAACCGTGCGTTTGTCCGTTTAATGCATAAAAATTTTCCTACGCAGTTTTTAGGTCACCTGAGTAAACTCAGGTGACCTATTGCTATCTGTTTGCGTCCGTCGTCGTGCGTCGTCCGTTAACATTTGAACATTTTCAGCTTCTTTGCAACAACAGAACCAATTTCAACCAAATTTTGCACAAAAGATTTATGGGTAAAGGGGAACAAAAATTGTGAATTTCATGATCCCTGCCCCCCTGGGGCCTGAGGGGTGGGGCCAATACCACTAAAATTAATGCAATCTTTAAAAATCTTCTTTACTCCTGGACATCAAGCAGTCAAACTGTTTGCATGATTGTAATCAGCATTGAGTCTTCTACCAAAATTGAGAAATTCATGGTCCCAGGGTCAGGGGTTCTAGTGCTAGGGAGGGGCTAAATAAGTATATAGTGAAAATACATTCTCTTCTTCTCTGCTCTTGGGTATAAAAAAAACCAACTAAACATAGTTATGATGAGCAAGAGTGCCTCTACCAAAATTGTGAATTTTATGGCCCCAGGGTCAAGGGTTCTAGTGCTAGGGCGAGGTTCTATTGATTATATAGTGAAAATACATGAACTCTTTGAAAATCTTCTTCTTTGCTCCTGGGTATTAAATAAACTAACTAAATGCATAATTATGATGAGCAAGAGTGTATCTACAAAAATTGTTATTTTTTGGCCCCAGGGTCAGGATTTCTGGTGCTTGGGGGGGGGGTCTATAGATTATATTGTGAAAATACATGAATTCTTTGAGTATCTTCTTTTCTGCCCCTAGGTATCAAATAAACTAATTGAGTGTATAGTTATGATGAGCAAGAGTGCCTCTACCAAAATTGTGAATTTTATGGCCCCAGGGTCAGGGGTTCTGGTGTTAGGGCGGGGATTCTATAGATTATATAGTGAAAATACATGAATTCTTTGAGAATCTTTTTCTCTGCTCCTAGGTATTAAATAAACTAATTAAGTGTATATTTATGATTAGCAAGGGTGTTTCTACTAAAATTGTGCATTTTATGGCCCGAGGGTCAGGGGTTCAGGTGTTAGGGCGGGGCTCTATTGATTATATTGTGAAAATACATGAATTCTTTGAAAATCTTTTTCTGTGTCACTGGGTATGAAGCAGATGAACTGCCTTTATGGTTATGATGAGCAAGGGCCCTAATTTTCCAGAATTTAGAATTTCAAGGCTTTAGGGTCAGGGGTACCATAAGGGGGGGGGGGCTGTACTTATATACTGAAAATAAATGAATTCTTTGAAATCTGCTCCTTGGTATTAATAAAATATTTTTGAAAAGCAAGGATGCCTTTTTCAAAAATTGTGCAGTGTGTGGATCTGGTAAGGGCACTACTTAATATTGCTGAATATTACTGATTAGTTGAAATATATTTTTGTTCCCCTACCCTGCCAATGGGTAAAGTAAAGTAACCAAGCTAAGCAACTGCCAAGTGTATTGTTATGATGATCATTGGTGCCTCTTTTAAATTAGTGAATGCCATAGCATATGGCTTAAAACATGAATTAAATTCAATAACTAGAAAGTTGTTGCATAATGCTCAGGTGACCTATAAGGCCCATGGGCCTCTTGTCTCAATATCTTTTAATTGAAACTTAATTAGTTCACTATTTGTTGAGGCATGCCATTCGGATGGATTCTTTTTTCATTCAATACTGATGTCAACTCAATGCAGATGCTTGAAATTTTAGCAAATGCATGTACTTTGTTGAGTAATGCCATAATTTGTGGGATTTTTTTGTATGAATCTGATATCAACTTCCTATTTATCTATAAATATGCCCGTAATTGTAACTGGACTTGATGTGTATATTGACGTGATAATTTATATTCACATCAGAGGCTGAGCGGTGATATAACATATGTGCATGTGCATAGGGTCACAGACTACTGGTTTGCACAATTATACATACAACTAAATCAGACTTACTTTAACAGAAACTTCAGTTACAACATCAACTATAATTCCAACGTCTACAGAGGTGATGACAACAACAAACGAAGATACGTTAACGACAACAACTTCTCAATCAACAACCTTAACAACAGACCCAGGAATTACTTCAACTATTACTAGAAATCCGACATCTACAATGGAAGAAACCACAACAAATAAAGAAACGACAACTTCCTTTTTAACCTTAACAACAAATTTACTAAATACATCACAATTCACGACAAAACTAACAACTACAACAAATCAAGATATAACTTCCACTCAGTCCACAACCTTAACTTCAGAACTAACATTACAATCAACTACTAACCCCACGCCAACAACGAACCAAGATACAACCATTTATTTTCAATCCTCAATCTTAACAGACGCAACAACTTCCTCTCAGTCAACAAGCTTGACAACAACTTCACAAATAACATCAACATCCACTACAAACCGAACAACAACGAAACAAGAAACAGCTCCCTATCAATCTTCAAATGTAACAGCAACAACAACTTCAGAAACAACATCATCGCCCACGATAAATCCGGTGCAAACAACTTACGAAGAAACAACAACTTCCTCTAAATCTTCTTACTTTACAACAACAAAGTCACCTAGAACATCAACATTGACTACATCGAACCAAGATACAACTTACTCTCAATCCGGAACCTTTACTCCACATGCAACACCGTCAACCACAACAAACCCAATAACAACAATCAAACAATCAACCGAAATCGAATCAACTACAAGTTCAGTAAAAACCACTGAAGGATCAAGAGAAGCACACAGGGAAATATCCACGGAACAAATTGACAAGTCCACTCCAATTGGACCTAACGACTCCGCAGAATCAACACAGTCCAAAGTCAAAAATACTCATTTGATTTTAGGGGCATCTGCTTCATTACTGGGACTTGTAGCAGTAATGATAATCATAGGACTGATATCTAGAGGATGCAAGAAATCGTGAGTATTATGTGTTTTCAGCTTTCCTGAGCTGAATGCATAAGTGAGCTTTTCTGACTGATCAGCCTTTATTTGTCGTCCGTCTGTTAAACTTTCACATTTTTAACCTCTCAAGAACCACTCGATCAATTTCAAGCAAACTTCCTGGGGTGAGGTGGAGTTTAAATTGATAAAAATGATAGTCACATTCCCGTAATTATAACAAGGGGAGATAATCAAGAAAAGACGAAAACAGGGTTGGGTCATTAAAAATCTTCTCAAGAAACTCTGGGCCAGAAAATCTTAAATAAATGTGGAAGCATTCTTAGGAGTGCTTCCTTTTTTAAATGCCCAAATCATGACCCCTGGGTAGAGCTGGGCCACAAGAAGGAATCTAAATATGACATTGAAATGTAAAGAAAAAATCTTCAAAAGAACCACTGGGCCAGAAAAGTTGAAACTTATGTGAAATCAGATTGGGGTAGTGTAGATTATAAATTGTTCAAATTATGGCCCTCGGGGTGGGGTACATGTGGAATCCAAGATTTGAAATATATAAGAAAACTCGTTAAAATCATTTTCTCAAGAACCACTTGGCCAGAAAAAACATATATCGGAGCATCCCTGTAAAAATGTAAATTCCAAATTGTTCAAATCTTGACCCTGGGCATAGGTCAGGCCACAATAGTGATTCAGGTTTTACATTGAAATATGATGGAAAATCTTTTTCAAAATCTTCTTCTCAAGAACCACTGGGCTAGAAAACCCGAAATTTATGTGGAAGCACTCGGGGCTAGGAAAGATTTATAATTTTTTAAGTTATGACTCTTGCTAGAATGGTGGGGTCACAATAGGTATTACAAGAGAGGGCTGATTAAGAACATCATGGCCAAAGTTACTCAGGCGAGCGATGTTATCCATTGGCCTCTTCTGTAAAATTAAATTTATATATTACAAATCGTCATTAACTTCTAATTGATATTCTATTTTAGAAAAGACCGATTATCCTCCAATAAGATTATCCTTTTTTTTACTGAATAAAAGCTAGAAATTATCAATTTAGAATAGAGTTTGACACAAAAGCGATTGACGCAAAATGACAAGAACATACAAAAGAAATCGTTTGTTTATTTACAGGAAGAATAAACACTCAGAAATCCAGCAGAATGATGTTAGACAGTTCAGGGACTGGAGAGATCATATTCTATTTGGAAAACCTGTGTATAATGCGGATTCTTTCTCAGACCTCAGTCACAAGTTGTACATACCACGTGCAACTCTACGAAATTTCAATTCCAGGGAGAAATATCTAAATATCAACGGGCAAGGATATCACAGATATTGATTTTTGCTAGCTCTTAAAGCGTTCTCTTGACTTCTTTTATACATTCTTGCATATAATTCATTCAATTATGTAGTGCTACCTTCTGAATTTACAAATTTACGAAATTATTACAAATACTTAAATAATTAATTTCATTGCTTATAAAAACAGTCAGAAAATGACAATTTGTTGTTTGATTTTAATTTTAGGTATTAAATTTCACTGCAAACGCTTAAAAGTTTCTCAAGATATCTCGCGGGAAACGTAATTGTTAAAATACATATACTAGTCAAAATTTCTAACGCCCCAGACGATATTTTTAAAAGCATTACCTTTAAACGCAATTATGTTGACAAAACCTTTATGTAAGATGAAGGAAAAATAAAATAAACAAATTTCATTTTGTTACATCAAAATTTATTGCTATGCTTGATGAAAATTAAGTTCCCGTAGAGGTACCCTGCAATTTAAAATTCTCAACATTCAGTACCGAGTATGTCCCCCATTTACTGAATGATAGCAAGACATCTGATTCTCGTAGAGTTCAAATAATTGTGCAGAAATCTTTGAGGGAGGTTATTCCATGTGTTAACAAGATCCCTCTCCAGTACCGCCAAATTCTGCTGCTGGGGAAACTGTCTTATCCTTCTGTCTAGCTCGTCCCACACATGTTCAATAGGATTGAGATCCGGACTACATGGGGGCCAGTCGAGTAAACGGATGTTGTGTTCCTGCAGCATCTGTTGTGTAGTCCTGGAAGTGTGGGGAATGGCGTTGTCCTGCATCAGCATCATTCCTCTATTGGCTCTGATGTGAGGAATTGCTTCCGGCTGAAGGATGTCGTTCTGATACAGATCAGCATTCAGGTTTCCTCGGATTGGAAGTATCCTGGTTTTCGTGTGTAACGACACACCCGCCCATACCAATATCGAGCCACCACCAAACTGCCTTCTTTCCCTCACACAGGCGTCAGTGTACCACTCACCTCTTCTTCGATACACCCGTCTTCGTCCGTCAGATCGTCGCATGTTGAGCCTGGACTCGTCCATAAAGAGTACACGGCCCCAGTCTGCCCTTGTAAATCTGAGGTGGCGCCTTGCCCAAGCTAAACGGCTGCCTGTGCCTGTCCGACAAAACAGCCTACATATGGTCTCCTGGCACGCAATCCACCCTCCCGTAGTCTGTTGCGCACAGTTTGGTCACTCAAAGGTCTGCCATGCGTTCTTATTGTTTGTCGCGCCGTTGTGCGTGCTGTACGGTGTCTGTTCCTAAGATGCGCGACCCTAATGTAATTGTCCTGTTGGCGTGTCGCCACTCGACGTTTCGGTCTTCAGGGTAGATCATCTGTACTTCCGGTTTGATTGAATTTCCGGACGAGCCTTAGTGTGGTTTTATGGTCTCGGTTGAAAGTTCTTACAACCTGAAAAAGTTTTAATCAATTTATTTAGCTTTGTTTAATTAGTTTTTAAATGTTGGAAGAAAAAAAATTGAACAAAGCGAAAAGAAACACACCTCCCGTGAACTGCGTCCGGCTTGGACCATGACAACTGCTCTTGCATCAACTGCTCAACTGTGTCGCATTTTCTCCCAAACTTTAACTGTATTTTAAGATGATCTTGAGACAGAGAACACGTGGAAAAAACCGTTTTGTAAAACACACCCGAAAACCATTTCGAACTCGTACTTCACGCTTTCCAACAAAAGCGGTCACGGCTGAATAATTTCTAATTGAATTCGATTTTTTTTTTCAATCGCAGACATGAAAGGGTACATACAGCAGACAATGTTTTTAAGGACTTTAATATTAACATAAAGGTTTCTTCTATTTTCAAAAAAATAAAAGTTGGGCGTTAGAAATTTTGACAAGTATAGTATTAATGAATTGAATGTCTTACGATTTGACCTCAGAATCCAGGTAGGTCCAGCAGGTCCAGTACAATTACTATTTTAACTATGGAACGCCAAGTAAAGCATTTTCTTGAGGAACGTGTAATTAACAAAAAGCAAATGTATATCCGAGGCTGATCCGATTTCTTCGAACATATCTCTGCAGAAGCAAAAATGGTATTTAAAATCGTCTGAATCAAATTGTGTTTTATTACCTCCTCTGCAGACCCTGTTATACCGGGTAAAAAAGGTTGTAAAAAAGCAAGTGGCTTCAGGGTAATTTGCTGAATTTCTGAGAGTCCATAAATGTTTTTTAAAAAACATTTCCATTGTCTATTAAACTCTCGAAAATAGCAAAAAACTCTACCAAATGCGCCAAGAAATGAAAGAGCACCTGTAACAGTTCGGTTGAAATCCACGTGTATATGTAAACATCCGGTCATGTGATGGCAATCTCGAGTGAGTACTCGAGTATATATGAACCGAATCCGCTCAGGATGAATCATGGACCAGGAAATTCTACTGCCTTGAAGCGTACTGCGCTTGAAGATCCCCGTCTAAAATGTCAACTCCAAAAAAAAACCAATCTGATAAATTTAGAAAAAAGTCTGTGACGTACCGTAATTAAAATAACGAGAACATTATACAGAAAAAGAATAAGAAGAACTTACAAAAAAGAACTGATATAAAGAACTATATGCGGTATATTGCATATGTTTGCCCCCACAAAAGTCAAATTTTGATAACTTCCTGAAATGTGCTAAATTCAATAAATTGTACGAGAAATATAAGTAAACAGAAAATATTATAGTTCCAGAGCAGTGTATTCACAATTTCTGTTTTTATGACGTCACAAACTAGTCCGATTTTATATCCTTTTTCAGAAAGAGGACAAAATGGACAAAATTTCAACAATTTAAGCTTTAAAATTTATAGAGCGCATGTGTGTTCAGGAACAATATTGATATATTTCATTGATATTATCATTCTACACATTATATCAAAATATTTATCCTGAACACACATGCGCTCGGTGACTTTTATTTAAAAAATCGACGAAATATGTACATTTATCTGAAAATTCATAAAAAACTGAAATTTACGTCATGTTTGTGACGTCATTACGTACATATGACGTCATTACTTATGAAATTATTCAGTGTTTTGAAGTCAGCATATACTCCCCTGTTTAAGGACTTAATTAAATATTACTCCATCAAAGTTTGATTTTGGGGGGCAAATGTTGGTTAATACCGCATATAGTTCTTTCGGATGAGTGATCCCCCTTACCAAAGGTGAGCACTATTTTAGCAAAACTTAGAAATGACTTACCTTCAGTTCTCAAAGGTATAATTGGGATGGTTAACATGCTTAAACAGACGTTGGGAATTAACTTTAGACAAAGTTGTCTATCAATATCAACTGCTGCGTCTTCTAAACTTCAGTGTAATAGATTAATACAAAGGCTATTGTGACATATGTGTGAAATTTGCTCGTCATGTGGCATATGTTATGTGTTTGTATGAAGCATGTACATGAATGCGTGTGCTAATAAGTTTTTTCGTGTCTGGAAATGTGATTTTCCTCTCCCATATGGTGTCCCCATATTAATTTCCCCTCTGTCTTCTATGTGTAGCTAAATTACTATAAAAACTTACACACTAACCCATTCTCCCTCCTTTCAATTTTTTCTAAAAGAAAAAAAAAGCTCTCAGAGCTTCTGCCTCAAACAGCATACAGAAATCCCTTGAAGGACCAAGACTCCCACACGCCAATGGATAACAAGACTCTATGATTCCTACTATTGAAAAAGTACAATAGAAAAAAACAAAACTAGTTGTCTTTGGCCTGACTTGATGATCAGTGCCATGTAGGTTATACAATAAGTTAACAATGGAAGTGTTTGACATTTTAGAAATGTTTTAATTTATAGGCCTCAAACTGATTATTATGTCTAATGGTAGACACTCCTCGGTTGACCCTCTAGTAGTTGACATATAATGGACAGATTTCCGCTTACACCTATAACAAAGTTCCTAATTTAAATGTCTCCATCTTTATTTTATCTGTATTTGTAGTAATAACCCCACATCTGTACAAATAATCCACACTTTTAACAAAAGAAATCGCACCAAACTATGGTACAAAAAAAAAATAAACCGCAATCTGATCGAAAAGGAATGTTGCTAACATCTGTGAGGAACCAGTAAACCAAGCTTACATATATAAAATTGAGCAACAGAAAAATCACACATAACAATTGTGAAATACATATAAAACCAAGCAACACAACTTTGGGGTAACAACATTGTTCTGAGAACCAATATCATTTATATTCATTTAAGGGGGCCGACTATAGTTTCCATTGCGCAATATTTCGCGCATCATAGTAAAATGAAGCTTATTTACTGTTTTAATGCAACTTTTTTCACTAAATTATTAAAATTGAACAAAAATAAGAAATTATAGGTATAAAAATGTAATTACAATTTGATATAACTGATTATTTAACCGATTTTGCAATTGATTGGTAGGTTGACGTCGCTGCAGTGTCTTTTTGACGTTATGTTAATCTGTAGCTCTTAAAGTAAGGGGTAATAAAAATATTATTACAGAAAAAGTAATAAACATACGCTCTTGAAATTTAAAACATAGAAATTTTAGAATATCTCCAATAGTTTTATTATGTTTTCTTGTGAATCCATCATATTTTGTAGTACTCTATAAAATAGTAAAATTTGCTTTTTTTGCATTTTGAGATGGCCCCTCTCTTAACAAGACGGTAGAATTTTGTATTTCTTACATATATTGTATGATATAGTATTACTCATCAAATATTATAGTTTGAACAAAATGTATTTTGTGGTATTTGTATAATATGCTTTAAATTGCTAAAAGTTGGCATTTTCCTTTATAATCTTATAGTAAATGTGCCTGTATTTTGAGACGGTCCCTCATAAATACCTGGACGGTAGATTTTCCCCAAACTTTGCATGTACGCTGAAGTTAATGTAAGTTATATATGGTATAAAAATGAAGAGTTTAGCTATTGTACTTTTCACACAATAAAACCATAGTCGGCCCCCTTTACCTCTTCAATTAGGGACATTGAATTGTGTGTGTTGATGAGGTCTTAATTAATTAGAGGCACTGTGAGCAATGAGCTCACTAAATAATACCCCCCCCCCCCGCCTCCCATATGGTTATAATGGCAAAGTCCATGTTTTGCTGTGGCCGGGAAACCCAAAATATATGTGTTGGATCAAAAAGTAAAATATGTAATAAAGATTATGTGAAATTTTCATTAAATTTCACTCAGTGGTATGAGAAGAGTTGCGGAAAAGAGAAGAGTACCCCAAGGCGTAACAGACAGACGGACGGACGTACATACCGATTACAGTATACCCTCCCCCTTTTCAAGCGGGGGTATAATAAAGTTCCGATTTGTAAATACTTTGTGAGAAAATGTGACGAATGTTAAACAATAAACATTTAATTGCTGCACAAGTTAATAGTACAAAACAATAAAACATTTAATCCTTTTTTGTTGAAGATCTATAAACTGTACAATCTAGGCTCTTTTGAATTATTGTCCCCCTAGGAAAACGAAACAAACCCAAGACAAAGCATACCTTTTCCAGTACTAAGTTTCTGTTTCGGACTTACAGTATCGATTCATACAAGCGTAGTTCCAATGAATGTTGAATATTTTCAGTGAGTACGCATGATTGTCAGTGATAATTAATCCTTGTGAGTGATTAACTACCAAAGCTCAAAAAACATTTTTTTTATATATATTTAAAGAAATCCAATAGGAAATTTCTTTGATGAATGAAAGTCATGAAAATTCTCAATACTGCTATACTTGCTTGTTGCAAAACAAATAATTATTTTAATTTATTTATTTAAATGGTCTACTAGTATTTGAATTGTGCTTTTGTAAATGGAAAAGGGGCATAAATGATCAATTAAAAAAGTATGTATTAGAAAAAATACAAAGCGTTTGTCCTTGGTTAACACATAGATTTAAAATGAAAGCTACCACAACTGTACTTCACTGTATAAAATTCTGGTCAGGACATTCGATATGAGAAACATGAATCTTTCTAAAAAGCATTTTAAAAATGCTCTCTATATAAATTTTCTTTTTTACCTCTTTATTGTTGGTCATACAAAAATAGATTAATTAGGACAGACAGATCAAGTTAATTAAAAAACTGTCAGGCTTGTATCGATTTCTTATCATAAAAATATTTGTTAAATGACATTTCATTTTCATATTGAACCTGGTATCGCATTTGTCATTTTTGCTTACTAAAAAGTCTTATTATCACCAGCCTATCAGCTTCAGGAATAACGAGATTAAAAACATTTACTTTATAAGAAAAATGAATACACCTAAACAGGTACATTGACTAGAAGAATGTGTCTGAATATAAACCGCCTTAAACCAGCGCCTGTGCCCCAAATGTATCACATTTTAAATAAATTATTTTATGGATCAAGGTTTATCTATTTTTAAAACAGATCATCTTGAACAATACGTTTTTTAATATAATAAGAAAAATACCTAATATGAATTAAGTGCGCTCTGTTGTTTAAATAAGGAAAGAAATAATCTTCAGGAGAGTAACTACAAATAATATTAGTGTATTACGACAATACAACACATACGACAAACTATCCAAAGAGCATTCTCTAGTTGTAGTTTCAATATTACATCATCTGGAAATTTTCATCGCTGTAAACACCGCTTGAGAAAACAATAGAGGTAAAAGTCATTCTTGTGTGTGTAGTATGTGTGTAGTATTAATTAAATGAACTTTAACTAGGTCAACGTGCTAGTGACCTCCGCTATTGAATCCATGTACAGTGCAGATATTTGATCTTTTAGTAAGGAAATTCTTACTGCGTTTTTAATATAAGAAAACTCATTGCAAACGATCATGAACAGCGGGTAAAAAAATTGATCTAATTCAATAATTATATATAATCATGGATGAATTACTTTTATAACCTAAAATTATAAATTTACGTGTAAACACAATGTACTACATGTACATGCATAATAGAAGTATGATTCGATTTTTTTTTTATTTCATTTTCTCGTCTAACTAATGTTTATTTAAATTGGTATTAATCCTATTTAATATATTTGAGTTTTAAAATTAGTCTTTATACATTTGTTGAGGATATAAATTTAAATTATTTATGTGCGATATATATAAGAAGGGATATATTTTAAATACTCATTTCATTTACTACAATCTCCTAAACGTTGAGAGAAAAAATTCACAAAAGCGTTTTATAATATATATGATCGTACTGTGCTCTCTGTCTCATGCAAAATTAAAACATTTTATAGGGTCTGTTTTAAAAAAAACACCAGCATATCTGAAACTGATGAGAAACCGAAAGTAAAGAAAATGACTGGGCGTCGTTTTAATAGTTCAAAAAAAGAAGGATAATTGATTAATTTGGAAACTATTTTTAAGGACATACAAAAGAATCCCTGTTGTACTGATTGTATATAAAAGAACACAAAATACATACTTTGTTTACATTTTTATAATTTTTTTATGCAAATCTGTATGTAGATTTGGAAGTCTGTTATATTAAGTAAGAACAGATTAACTGACAATAATGGCACGATATGACTTGAATGCTATGCAATCAGACCTCAGAAAGGAGTTGGAGAACGGTTTTCTGGAAGAGTCGGAGGAGATGGTAAATAAAATTAAAGAAATTATGTCTAAGTACGAAAGTCATCCACAGGACTGGGATGGTCTGGAAAAGGGGCATAAATGATCAATTAAAAAAGTATGTATTAGAAAACATACAAAGCGTTTGTCCTTGGTTAACACATAGATTTAAAATGAAAGCTACCACAACTGTACTTCACTGTATAAAATTCTGGTCAGGACATTCGATATGAGAAACATGAAACTTTCTAAAAAGCATTTTAAAAATGCTCTCTATATAAATTTTCTTTTTTACCTCTTTATTGTTGGTCATACAAAAATAGATTAATTAGGACAGACAGATCAAGTTCATTAAAAAACTGTCAGACTTGTATCGATTTCTTATCATAAAAATATTTGTTAAATGACATTTCATTTTCATATTGAACCTGGTATCGCATTTGCCATTTTTGCTAACTAAAAAGTCTTATTATCGCCAGCCTATCAGCTTTAGGAATAACGAGATTAAAAACATGTACTTTTTTTTTACAAAAATGAATACACCTAAACAGGTACATTGACGAGAAGAAAATGTCTGAATATAAACTGCCTTAAAGCAATATGAGCTGTATCTTTGAGAATTTTATTTTTATGGTAAAATGTGCTATTATGATCAATTTGTATGTAATTTAAACTTTTATGATCAATAAGCCCAAAATAAAGTTTTAAAATGTTTTAGAAGAAATATTTCTGTACAACCGAATATGCAGTTTTATATAAGAAAACATTATTGTACAGGACGACAATGATTCAATTTTGCTTCAATCAAAGCTAATAAAAAAAAATCCATTGCAAATATGAGCAACAGAAGTTTATAAATAATTTTTCTGTCATTAAATTAGTTGATTACAAATTTTAAATAAAATTTTCAAATGTCAAACATGCAGCTCATATTGCTTTAAGCCAGCGCCTGTGTCCCATAATAATCACATTTTAAATAAATTATCCTAAACAATACGTTTTTTTAATATAATAAAAAATATCTAATATGAATTAAGTGCGCTCTGTTGATTAAATAAGGAAAGAAACAGTCTACAAGAGTGTAACTATAAATAATATTTGTGTATTAAGACAATACAAAATACAAAACACATGACAAACTAACCAAAGAGCATTCTCTAGTTGTAGTTTCAATATTACATCATGTGGAAATTTTCATCGCTGTAAACACAGCTTGAGAAAACAATAGAGGTAAAAGTTATTCTTGTGTGTGTAGTATGTGTATGGGAGTGTAAACAAGTCGTTTAATTAAATGAACTTTAACTAGGTCAACGTGCTAGTGACCTCCGCTATTGAATACAGTGAAGAGATTTGATCTTTTAGTAAGGAAATTCTTACTGCGTTTTTAATATAAGAAAACTCATTGCAAACGATCATGAACAGCGGGTAAAAAATTGTTCTTATTCAATAATTAATCATGGATGAATTACTTTTATAACCTAAAATTATAAATGTACGTGTAAATACAATGAATACATGTACATGCATAATAGAAGTATGATTCGGTATTTTTTTTTTCATTTTCTCGTCTAACTAATGTTTATTTAAATTGGTATTAATCCTATTTAATATATTTGAGTTTTAAAATAAGTCTTAAATTTTTGAAGGATATAAATTTAAATTATTTGCGATAAATATAAGAAGGGATATATTTTAAATGCTCATCTCATTTACTACAATCTCCTAAACGTTGAGAAAAAAAAATTCACAAAAGCGTTTTATAATATATATGATCGTACTGTACTCTCTGTCTCATGCAAAATTGAAACATTTTATAGGGTCTGTTTAAAAAAAAAACACCAGCATATCTGAAACTGATGAGAAACCGAAAGTAAAGAAAATGACTGGGTGTCGTTTTTATAGTTCCAAGAAGGATAATAGATTCATTTCGAAACTATTTTTAAGGACATGCAAAAGAATCCCTGTTGTACTGATTGTATATAAAAGAACACAAAATAATACCTTGTTTAAATTTTCATAATTTTTTATGCAAACCTGTATGTAGATTTGGAAGTCTGTTATATTAAGTAAGAGCAGATTAACTGACAATAATGGCACGATATGACTTGAATGCTATGCAATCAGACCTCAGAAAGGAGTTGGAGAACGGTTTTCTGGAAGAGTCGGAGGAGATGGTAAATAACATTAAAGAAATTATGTCGAAGTACGAAAGTCATCCAAAGGACTGGGATGGCAAGGAAAAATGGAGCGATAAAAAGTAAGTAGTAAATTAATTTTTTTTCAGTCCATGATTTACTAATTAACTAGAAACATTGTGTAATGAATATGAAACATGAAGAAGTTAAAAAAATTAATGATACTTTGGATTTAGTTGAATAAGAATAAAGCAAAAATTCATAAAGTATTATGCTTATACTAGTTCGAATGATTTAATTTTCACACGATATCATTGTTTACTTCATAGATATACAAGAACTCTTCTAGACAAAGGGAATGGTCATTACAATCTGATGATATTGTGCTGGAACACTGGTCAGGAAAGCCCTATACATAATCACCCCAAATCTCACTGCTTCATGAAGACTCTGAAGGGAGAAGTATTCGAGGAGTTGTATGAAAATCCGGAGATAACGTCGTGTTGTAGAGGCAAAATGAAGAAAATCCAAGACAGAGTATATACACTCAACGATGTGGCCCATATCACTGGTATGTTTAAATCAATAGTTAGTGTAAACTGGTATTTTGTCAAGTACTTTGAAACGTTTGTATGACTTGACTCTATATCAAAAATTAAGAATTAGAGAAATTTTTAAAGTCGTCTTGCACATGTTGCATGTAATTATCGTCTGTGTCAAAGCCTCTCTTTTGATCACTACCTGTATTTATGTACCGCACTTCAAGCACTTTCTTGAGAGATCTAAGTACTAGATTAGTGTCAAACCAATCTTTACCCCCCCCCCCTTATTTTTGAAGACTATAGTAGGATTTCCTTTATAAAGTATATATATCATATAATAAACCCAACATATATTTTTTATACAGACGCAGACGGACTTCATCGAGTTGGAAACAAAAGTCACGTGGAGGGCGCTGTCACTCTACACCTTTATTCCCCGCCCTTTTCCTCGTGTAAAAAATATGATGACGACACGGGGAAATCTACAGAGGTTCCGATGGGTTACGATCAGGACTTTAGTGAACAGTGCTGCTCTCGCTCATGTTGTGAAAAGTAACTTTTCTATGTGGAAACAAAGTCATTTATTTTGAAAGGTAAACGTGTTTGTTTTTAGAAACTAGTATTATGATGCGAAAATTTTATTGCATATTGTTATATTTGTACATTTTTTTTTACATATTCACCTTTTTTGTTGCTTTATTTATTTATTTTTTTAAAATTTATTTTTGTGCAATTTAAGAGTTTTTTTTAATATGATATAGAGAAAGCAGATATATTTACTGCTGCCTCTCGTACAAATAAACTGTTTTATATTAATTCTGGAAGTTTTAAATTAATCTGAATCTCTGTGATACATGTACATGTTCACTTTTATATCGAAATGTTTTTAAATATAATTTTTTTTATGACGGATGTAGTGTTAAGAGAATTTGGTGAATGTTTGAATTAATATATTCGTTTTAAGAAATATATACTCATCATAAGTCAGCACAAACGTTTTACACCAATGAGTTTAAAAAGTTTCTGACGCCTTTTTAATGATTTTGCTACGCAAGTGGTTATGAATGTATTTAACTTTGAATAAAATACTTATGAATGTCTTTTATCTCTTTTTTGTGGAAAATAATTGAAGAGGTGTAATTTCTGCTTATTTCAAGGAACAGCATTGCCATGCTTAAATCCCCCCCCCCTCCAAAAAACATTATCTGTCATGTCATGTTATGCCATCGTAAACGAAGTTTCGGGGGGTATATAGTTTTTGTCGTGTTCGTCCGTCCGTCTGTTTGTCCCCCCCCCCCCCAAAAAAAAAACTTGAACCTTGCCCATAATTTTTGATTTAGTGGAGCTTTGATATTCATAATTCACATGTGTATTCCTTGTGACAAGACTTCTTTGGGTACCGCCATTTTGACCTTGAGTTTGACCCACTTTTACACAAAAATTTTGAACCTTTACATTCGCCATATCTTTTGAACTGTCAATACCAGGACATGTATACTTGACATATGTATTCTTTGTGGAAAGACGTATCATTTGATACCAACAACCTTAACCTATGAAAAAATTTAACCTTGGCTATAACTTTTTAACAATAATTGCTATGGCTTTAATCCTTCACATATATAATTCTTGTGAAAGTCCTATCATTGGATACCAAGAACTTTGACCCTTTGACCCTGTAGTTTGACCTACTTTAAAAATACAACCTTGACCATAATTTTTGAAAGGATAGGACTAGGGCATTCATATTTAACAAATTTGATCCTTGTAACAATACCTTTCATTTGATATCAAGAACTATGAACCTTTGACCTTGGAGTTTCCCTAACAAAAAAATACTATAGTTAACTATAGTTAACTATAGTTTACTATAGTTAACTATAGTTATAACTTTGACACTTTGAAAACTTTGATTTACTATAGTGATAACTTTGACACTTTGAAAAACTTTGACGAAAACTTTGACACTTTGAAAAACTTTGACACTTTGAAAAACTTTGGCGAAAACTTTGACACTTTGAAAAACTTTGACGAAAACTTTGACACTGAAAAACTTTGGCGAAAACTTTGACACTTTGAAAAACTTTGACGAAAACTTTGACACTGAAAAACTTTGACGAAAACTTTGACACTTTGAAAAACTTTGGCGAAAACTTTGACACTTTGAAAAACTTTGGCGAAAACTTTGACACTTTGAAAAACTTTATCGAAAACTTTGATACTTCAAAAAGCTCCAATAAAAACTTTGACACTTTGAAAAAGTTTAACTAAAACTTTGACACTTTGAAAAAGTTTATCGAAAACTTTGATGCTTTCAAAAAATTTATCGAAAACTTTGACACTTTGAATGAAAAACTTTATCAAAAGGTTTGATACTTTGAAAAACTTTATCGAAAACTTGGAAAAATTAACACTTCAAAAAACTTTATCGAAAACTTTGACACTTTGAATTAAAAGATTTATCGAAAACTTTGATATTTTGAAAAAGTTTATCGAAAACTTGGATATTTTGAAAAACTTGATCAAAAACTTGGATATTTTGAAAAACTTTATCGAAAACTTGGATAATTTAACAATTCAAAAAACTTTATTGAAAACTTTGAAACAGTTTATCGAAAACTTTAACACTTTGAAAAACTTTATCGAAAACTCTGACACTTTGAAAAACTTTATTGAAAACTTTGATACTTTAAAAAACTTTATCGAAAACTTTGACACTTTGAAAAACTTTATCGAAAACTATAATACTTTGAAAAACTTTATCGAAAACTTTAATACTTTGAAAAACTTTGACGAAAACTTTGACACTTTGAAAAACTTTGGCGAAAACTTTGACACTTTGAAAAACTTTGGCGAAAACTTTGACACTTTGAAAACTTTATCGAAAACTTTGATACTTCAAAAAACTCCAATAAAAACTTTGACACTTTGAAAAAGTTTAACTAAAACTTTGACACTTTGAAAAAGTTTATCGAAAACTTTGATGCTTTCAAAAAATTTATTGAAAACTTTGACACTTTAAATGAAAAACTTTATCAAAAGGTTTGATACTTTGAAAAACTTTATCGAAAACTTGGAAAAATTAACACTTCAAAAAACTTTATCGAAAACTTTGACACTTTGAATTAAAAGATTTATCGAAAACTTTGATATTTTGAAAAAGTTTATCGAAAACTTGGATATTTTGAAAAACTTGATCAAAAACTTGGATATTTTGAAAAACTTTATCGAAAACTTGGATAATTTAACAATTCAAAAAACTTTATTGAAAACTTTGAAACAGTTTATCGAAAACTTTGACACTTTGAAAAACTTTATCGAAAACTTGGATACTTTAAAAAACTTTATTGAAAACTTTGATACTTTAAAAAACTTTATCGAAAACTTTGACACTTTGAAAAACTTTATCGAAAACTATAATACTTTGAAAAACTTTATCGAAAACTTTAATACTTTGAAAAACTTTGACGAAAACTTTGACACTTTGAAAAACTTTGGCGAAAACTTTGACACTTTGAAAAACTTTGGCAAAAACTTTGACACTTTGAAAAACTTTGGCAAAAACTTTGACACTTTGAAAAACTTTATCAAAAACTTTGACACTTTGAAAAACTTTGGCGAAAACTTTGACACTTTGAAAAACTTTGGCGAAAACTTTGACACTTTGAAAAACTTTGGCGAAAACTTTGACAATTTGAAAAACTTTGACGAAAACTTTGACACTTTGATTTACTATAGTTAACTATAGTAAACTATAGTTAACTATAGTATTTTTTTGTTAGGGTTGTCCTACTTTTTACATACTTTAACCTTAGCCATAACTTTTGAACAGTAGGGGCTAGAGCTTTCACATTTCATATATGAAATCCTTCTGACAAGATCTTTGATTTGATATCAAGAATCTTGACCCTTTTACCTTGACCTTAGAGTTTGATCTACTTTTTACAAGTTTTAACCTTGGCCATAACTTTTGAAATGAAACGGCCAGCGGTTTCATACTTCCCATATGTAATCTTTGAGACAAGTCCTTTCTTTAAAAACCAACAACCTTGATCCTTTGACCTTGACCCACAGTTTGTCCTATTTTATAAAATATTAACCTTAAACAGGTGTAGCTAGCGTTTTAAATTTCGTATTTCTTTTGAAAAGGCCTTACTTTTGGTACCAACATATTTGATCTGCATGTGAGAAAAATTAACCTTCGCTACGTTGCCATACAGGGGCATCAGTGTTTCACAAACACATCTTGTTTTTTTTTCTTTTTTTTCTCTCACCTTTCGTGCGTCCTCCATCTCTGTCCCTCGCAAATGCAAGCTCGATTTTCTGTCTGTAAATAAACACAATATGTTTTTCCGCTCAGGTAAGCTTTTCTGATCACATTTTGTCTGTAGTCCGTCCGTCTGTTTGTACACTTTTCACATTTCCACTCCTTCTTAAAGGTGCATAAACATAGATAAAATTTGAAATTTATATTTCCAGTATAATATCAAGACGTCTATATTGTAATAGCATTTAACACGAAACTATATTAAAAATCTTTTTTTATCTAAAAGTTATTGAAACATCAAAGAACAAGATATTATTAAGGCCTTAAAAGGCCCCTCTTTGAAATAATTCACACCAGTGCAAGGGTATTCCTTGTTAAGTGAGAAAATGATATATTAACTTTGCTACATGTAATTGGCTTACATGATTCCCAAGTAACATGGCAACTGTGTATTCCGTTTATATTTCAATTTTATCTTTAAAGTAGTATTTAACATACATGGTGCAGTACCATCCAGTAATTTCCCCATCTTCATGTAAGTTGTACTGAACGAAGATAGTGTGAGTTACATTGTTGCGGTAGCGTGAATGAATTTTGATTTTCAAAAGGTTTTCTTTGATTTTGCATACATTTAATTAATATGTACATGTACCTCCCTGCCGTAGCTTGTCATCAGAGAGAACTTGGAAATCTTTTAACAACGTCTACGTCTTCTACAAGGCTCTGAACAGCGTTTCTTTCTTTACGTTTCTGTAATTTTTTTCTGCTATCCTTATATCTTCAGTCTATCGAAGTAACCCGAATTAGGGTTAGTGAGTATTGTTAGTCGTCCTAAAATTATTAGGGTTTGAAGGTAGTAAAAACGCAATATTTTTAGTAATTTTCACCGATTAATTTAAAAAAGAAAAGGGTTTATGTTTTTGCAATGCCATATACATGTAGGTATGGGGAAGCTGAGAATTGATTATCAAAAGGTTTCCTATAAATCATGCCCACAAGCTGTAACGGACAGACTAACATACGCACAGTTTTCTTGCTAGCAGTCTGCAAAAATTAACAATAAGTCAAATCGAAAGTAAATCTGGTAACACATTGAAATAATTACGAGTTTGATTAATGCACAATAATGCATTCTGAATAAAATAGATTTTATTGTTTCTTGTGCATTTTATACGCATTATAGGTTGCGCCGAAAATTTCAAGCGGGTGTAAGAGTATCAGTTACTTGTAGGTGTACGTAGACAACGGGTGACGAGGAACTTGAAAAACCGCTGTACAAATCAAGTTGCAGTAGGCGGA